TCTTTGCTATCCTTACTAATGCAGAAAAGCGCTGATTCCCGTATTCATTCAGGGCTCAGCCTTGCAAACGCTCATGTGAGCAATCCTTCCTCACATGAATAATCCATCTGATCTCAATGGACCACTCCCAAGAATGCAGTTTACGGCCATGAGTAAGGGGTTGCATGACTGGGCCCATAACCAGGTGCACACATTCTTGCCTGACTTAAGAAGACACAAGCTCTTCTCATTTTGTTGCATGTATCAAGGGCCCAGATGCAGCTAGCATTGATTTTATTTTAATGAGAATCCGGCTGGACATTCCTTACCAAGTGTAGTGAACACTACTGTAGGTATTGCTACTTAGTTTGGTAGGCGCTGCAGGATTGGGCCCTTCCATAATAACTGGGGGTGCATAGGTTTGGTCTGAGATTTTAACTTGATTTTTTTCAAAATGGTCTCATAGTTTGTTTGGAAATAGATCAGGAAAATAATCAGGTAAACAAACCGTGAATATGTGTGTTGAATTATCAGCCCAGATTTCTAGCTGGTTTATTTCTAGTTCCCCCTCCCCGCAAAGTCAATGGAAAGCCTCCCACTGACTTCATGAATTATCCTTGGCTCCCCCCCACACAATGTAGTTTAAGGCTTAATGCTGCGAAACCACTTATGCATGTCGGTACCTTTACTTATGTGAGTAATGTTATTACCCTCAATGGGTCTTCTCACGTGATTAAAGTTACCCCCGGGCCCAAGAATTTGCAGAATTGGGCCCATTGAAAGGAAAATGAAAAATGAAGTAACATTCCCAAACAAAGGCTAAATCCTGCAAACCTTTTGCACACATGAGTAGTGCTCACCCGTGCGAGTGGTTCCATTGATTTTGCTTCTCCGCTGACTTCAGTGGCATTGCATTATGGGTCAGATTCTGTCACCCTTCAGTTGAGCAGAGCCTTATTCTATGAGGACCCATATTGAAACAAATGGGGCTACTCGCAGAGTAAGATGCTACTGACCATGAGAAAGGGGGGACAACTGGACCATAGATGTTTCTTTGAAAGTAGAGAGTAGAAACTTTAATAATAATTAATAATACTTGGATTTAGTTTTTATTTATTCCTTTTATTTCTATGTTCTGAGCAGCGACTGCTTTCCCCTCCCTATGAGCAATTGTAGCTTGTTACCGAAGACTGTAGTCAGGCCAAACTCTCATGGACTGCAGAGGCAGTTTTGCCTGGTTAAGGGCTGGAAAAGCGGGATTACCTGGGAACAGTTCTCACCTAGGAACTCTGGAGTAGGTTCAGTCTATACCTACTGTTTGCCCCCTTTAATTATAATGGTTTAAAACCCAATGTAGTTAAAGTAGTACAACCCTTTCTACTGGTATATAGGTGCTTATGGGGGTATTGATTATTTCCATACATTTAATATGCTATATTGCTATAAGCACCTTTTAACTGGTATATGGGCAGCAACAGCATTTTAGGCTTATATACTGCCACCCATCACCATAGTATCTGAACACTAGGGGGGTTTATCACTTTATATCTGCTTCTAAGCCACTACAGGTATAGACATACAAAAACTGTATGTGAACCAGCCCTAGGTAGAAAACTGTCCAAGGGACACCCTGGCTAAGCAGTAAAAGTATTCTTTCCACCAGCCTGTTGTTGTTGTTTGTTTGCTGTAAATTGACATGCATTTGGAAGAGCAGTTGTATGCACAGGGGCTTGCCACATGTAAAATGTGTTAACAGATCTGTCCCTTTTGAACAGGTCAGTGTTGGAATCTGTGTCACCTTTGACTTCGGTGAATGTTTATTCTTTTAACAGGGTTTAACAAGTATTAATTCAAAAGGCCTTCCTGGCTCCTTGGCATATATTTGATTTCAATCACAGTCTTTCCCCAGATCTCTTCCTTCAGGTATTCTTTTCAGCGAGCTCTTCTGTGTGGTTATACATAGTCTCAGATATGGGCCCCAGACAGCATTTGAAGGCAAGCAGTGCTTAATTTGTAATGAAAGAGGTGCCGGGGGCTCAAGCAATTTTTTTTTACATTCATAACTGATGCAGCAAGCCCAGGGGTTATGAACTGCCAAGCCCAGAGGTGCCCGGGCTATGGACTGCCGAGCCTAGAGGTGTCCGAGCTCAGCCCTGGCACAAATTAAACACTGAGGGTGAGTAATTCAAGGGAAATGCAGATGGGGAGAGGAGGATCCTTAGCCCGGTCAGTTTCCCAAAGTGTTGGATGCAGCACTTGTGTACACATTGCATTTTGTTGTGAAATTCTCTAGGAAAGGAACACAGACTTTCACACACACACACACAACTAGCGCTACATCATTTAAGCGAGGCAGTAAAGTGGGATGCCATCCATCAGACCTTTGGAGTTCTCTGAAAGAAAGCTCCTTCTCATGCCCGGGGTGAGATATTTAAAGAGCAATAAAAGAGAAGGACCTGGCAAAGGCAGGGCTCTGTAATGTATGTCTGAGTTACCGGGAGAAGGATGCTACAAGGGAAAGGCTATCCAATGCTGCTCCCACCCTCTCCTGCACCTGCTACCCACTGTGAGGTGCTTGCGTGGACAATGCATTGGCATGTTGACCGGCTGAAGAGCTGAGTGTAGGAGCAAGCAGGATCTCAGGGGATTTTAGGAAGAAAGGAACTGATCCCCCCCACACACACACACACTCCCCCGAAGTGAATAAGAGCTGAGGCTGAGCCCGGCTTCACTACTCACTTGGCTGGCCCCGAGTTTATTTTATTTGCAAAAAAATTCCGACCGGATCCTGCAACCTTTTTCCCAATCCCAAATCAAGGGGATCTCCCAGGAATGCAGGATCGGGTCCCTTCCTCACACCCCCACGGCGTGCTATGCAGCCTCGGCTAATGTAATGCAGCAAACAAACCTAAGGACAGTTTAATTGAACATTTTTTTTTAAGGCAGGAGGCAAAAAAAATAAAAGTTTTACAAAAAAAATAAAAAATCCCTCTACCACACTGGGAGACCAGCTCTGTCAATAGCCGTTTAGAAACGCTAAAAAAATTAAAGGAATAGCCTCCTTACTTCTCTCCCTTCCGTTTACAATAACACGTGTTACCCAGCCCTCCCCCCCCCCCCCCCTGTCCCCAGACTGGAGCTGAAACACAATGCGGTTGCCTAACTGCTGGGGTTTGCTGCCCCCCTCACTGTTCCCCCCTGAAATGAGGGGGGGGGGGGGGGGGGGGGGTGAGATCATGTAAAACCATGACAGCTCCCTCCCCTGCTTCAAATTTGAGTCCAGGGCAAGATGAAGATTAGCTGCCTGATGGATCGATTTATGGCCCCGTTTTGAGAGGAACGAATAATAGTTTTGTGTGTGTACACACACAGAGAGAGAGAGAGAAACACACACACACACAGAGAAACACACAGAAAGAGAGAGAGAAAGACACACACACACACACGCAGACACAGAGAGAGAGAGAGAGAAACACACACACACAGAGAAACACACAGAAAGAGAGAGAGAGACACACACACACACACACA